CGCTATGTTTCCATCCAAATTTGTTTTGTTACTTTATCTCAAAAGTATTTTCCAGGCTTTTAAACTGTCTCCCCATCTGTCCCTCCCAATGAGACGGGGACGAGTGCGGGGACTTTACAAACGGAGGCTGTGAGCAGCTCTGTGTGAACCACCCCGGGGGCTTTAACTGCACCTGCAAGGAGGGCTACGAGGTCCGAGCTGATGACCCCACCAGGTGTCGACGTGAGTCAAACATCTCATTAATATGTTTGGCGATAGCACCTCTTTTACGCCCGAGCTGAGTTAATGCGCGTCTTATCTGCTCCAGCTGTGTGCGACCCACCGTGTCAGAACTACGGAGTGTGTGTGGGGCCAAACAGCTGCGACTGTCCTCCAGGCTACCCTGGTGTGGGATGCTCAGGTACAAACCTTAATGTAAATGGTTGTAGATAGAGGGATGCTGGTCATTTTGCCTCTTCGCTGTTTCATGATTTTGCAGCTTTGGTTGTTTTGCACCCAGATTTATATTCAACAAGCTGCCCATTCATACCGGCTTTGACAGTTTGATGAGCTAAAAGAGTTTTCAACATCTGTAAGAAAATGTGATTCCTTGATTCAAATTAATAATATGTACTGCCTTTAAATTGCTTCAAGTTATTTTGGTCATAATTCGGCTACATTTTAAAAGTCAGCTTGCCTGAAAAGGGACAAGAGCAACAACCGATAAAATGTCTTCATATAGTCAGATTAAAAGGGATTTTGATCCTATTTATGATTATTTAACTAGGAAATTCAACAAAACAACGATCAAAAGCAATGACATGATATTCACTGATTTAAGCACAGGTAGACTCAAAATTATTCAAGCCCCCCCCCGGCACATTTAGGTTTAACGTGTTCCTTTAAATCGACGGAGATGTTTCCGCTGACTTTGTTGAACGTTCACAGACCTTTTGGTTAAATTTATCTGAAAAAGACACTTAAGTCAGCAAATCAGTCTCATGCTCTGAAAAAAATGTGTTTTTATAACCGATGGTAAGGTATAGTTCATCCCAAAACTATTCCTACCTCTGGCAGACTAAGGTCTAAATCCAAAACTATGTTTAATAAAAACTGTGAAAGTATAAATTAAGGTTGTGATAAATCCTTGTTGGTTGTTTCAGCCATTTGCTCTCCACCCTGTGCCCATGGAGGAACCTGCATGCGCTGGAACATGTGTTTGTGTCCTTCTGGGTGGACAGGAGAAGGCTGCCACACAGGTACTACGTCCTACTTCATCAGCTTGTGAGAGTCAACCTGTCTCTGTAACTTTGTGTTGTAGAAAACGCATGCTTGGAAACGACATGTTTTGATTTGCATTGTTCCAGTTTTGTGTACTCTATCTGTGACTGTTCAGGTTTAACTTTTTTTTTTTTTCCATCTCTCCATGATTAGCTGTGTGCGAGCTGCCGTGTGCAAACGGCGGACGCTGCGTCGGCCCTGATACCTGCCAGTGTTCCTCTGATTACACGGGCCCCCAGTGCCTGTTGCGTGAGTGAAATTGCAACAAAACATCTGAGTGACATTTTTTATTTTCTTACTACTTTAGCAACTATAAAAAGTGTTGATAACATAAAGTAAAAACATGAAAACAGTTCATTTAACCAGATGTAAGCAGTCTTGTGTTTCTAAGAGGTTTTTCTTTTGTGTGTTTTGCAGCACTGTGCACCCCAGCCTGTCAGAATGGGGGAAGATGTGTGGATGTTAACAAATGCACGTGTGTTGCTGGATGGCAAGGAGCTCGATGCCAGATTGGTAAAACAACGAAAATGTTCAATCTCTATTAAGTTCATTATAGCTTGTGTATCTGTTTTAACTTAGTAAGCTCTGTAAATCAACTATATCATTGCAAATGCTAAACCAAGTATTTTATGCACACACGCACACATATATTTGCAAAAGAAAAAGAAAAAAAAGAAGGAAAAAGAATCATTAGTTTTTTTTAGGATATAGAGTCTGTATCATAATGATGGAGCACCAAAGCTTTTGCTGTAATCAGTTAAATTAATTAAAAGTTAATTAAACTTGCTGCTGATTTATAATGGGGATTCAGACTATAATCCATCAAGAGAACTGTTGCATTGTTTCTTAAAATAAATAAATAAATAAAGCCAGAATACAGTTCCTCATCCCTGAGGCCATGTTACCTCACAGAAAACACACACCGGTTTACGGGCCGCTTGGAATCGCTCCGCTATTTGTTCGATGTCTTTTTCTGGTCACTGAGTCTCACTGACAGGCACAGAGATGAGCCATGTTGAACTGAATTAGTCTAGACGTCTTTGGTCCTCTGTTCTCTTCTGTCTCCATCAGAGCCCATCCAGTGTCAAAAGCCCTGCAGGAACGGAGGTGTGTGTGTGGGCCTTAACCGATGCCGCTGCGCCAAAGGATTCACCGGCAGTCTCTGTGACACAGGTTTGCCAATAACTTTCAGATTTCATATGCATGTGTGGTCAAAGGTATGAGGAGAATACTAAATCAACGGTAACTTATCAGTCCCTTGGATCTGTTTCATTTTTAAACTTTCACAGTTTTAATTTAACAATGGATTAGAAATGAAGATGTCTCACTTTATGCTATGGCTATATTGAAATAGGATCACATTTGCTTCATCAGTGGTCTGTAACCTGCAGTCCTGAAGCTGCAAGTGGCTCTTCAGTTCATTTAATGTGTTGAAAAATGAAATATTGCACTGTCTTGTTTGTTTCGTTCATTCACTCGGTCCAAACCATGAAAAAAAAAAAAAAAAAAAACTGGTCCAACCCTATTAAATTTTCTAGATTGTAAGTGGATACAAAGGAAAAACAGATGTTTCCTCTTAGTAATACTGTGGGATGTCACTGTAGCTGTAACAACACGATGTGTCCCACCTTGTCAACATGGAGCCACCTGCAACCCGCACAACACCTGCACCTGTCCAGAAGGCACCGCAGGCCTGCGCTGTGAGAGACTGTAAGTGTAAAAAGGAACATAATCTAACATGCGTGGAAAATCTAACATCAGCTTTCCTTCAAGTTCCTGTTTTTCTGGCTAGTCAGCATCAAGTACTTGATAATGACATATGAGTCTCATTGTAAACAAAATATTGACTAACTTGTTAGTTTTTTACCAGGATTAAACAGCATGAGTGTGGTGATCATTTAGACTTTTATATTTTGATTAGTTTGTGTTGTAATGTCATACACGGCAACCCTTTAATTTTTCAGTTCCTTGTGCTTGACTGTAATACGTTAAGTATTTTTATGTGTTTAGAGTCGAACTTGTGTTGCAGTCTTTGCTCTCTCTTATGAAAGAGAGAGCTTTCTTCCATAGTTCCTCTGAAGTTATTCATGTCCAAGGGTCATCTTTAGTTAGCTTTCTATTTGTGTTTCACAGAATTGTGCATTAATTCAGTTTGTTCCAGTTTCATTTCCTTGGCTTTCTCAGTGTTTATTTCTCCTGAGATGCAACAAATTTCTGACTTCTCCAACCTGATACCAGTTTCAGCTACCGGCCTATATAAATAACCCATTATTTGTTTGTTTCCTGAGTTTTCAACCAAGATTTTTTTTGTTTTTGATTACCTGGTCAGGACTCTTGTTTGTTTTTTTGTTTTGTTTTATTTTTATCAAATTGTTTACTTCCCCTGCATGTTTTCATTCCTTCAACACAACACAATTTGACACCTTTTTTGATGATTTCACATTTAAACACATAGAAATTATATTTACCTAAAGCACAAAGTCAGCAGTTAGTTTTCTAATTGAAAAACAAATAATTGATTATTACAGAAACAATAATGTAATATGTGTTTTTTTTAACATATCAAGTCAGAGAGCAAAAGTCTTAGAAGATAAATACATATTTCAAGTAAATACACATATGTTTTGCACAAAACATTGCAGATTGTTTCTGTACTAGATAATATGTTCTAAAGTTGTGAGTTTTGGCGTCTCCACATAGTCCTGCTCAATGACAAAGATTTGGTGACTTTTTGAAGTGAGGATGAATAATTGCTCTGCTTACAGTAGCAACTCTAATAAGTAATCTGTGCATTGCAGGACGTGTCCTGTGGTCACCACGGTGGTAAGCACAGCTCGTGCTGTGAGGAAAGCTGTCAGGGAGAGCTACGTTGACCGCTGTGGACCCCTGGGAGTTCAGCTTTGCACTAAATACAGGTCAGTTGCCACTCAGGTGTGCATTATGTTATTCTGGAAAGAAGGTGTTGTTTTTTATAGAAATAAACATGTTGTGTAAGTCTTTTTAGAGTTCTTTTTTATTTTTTTTAGTACAAAGCAAATCTGTGTGTGTGAGTTGGAAGGAAACATTTTGAAACAATATTAGATTCAAATCGGAATGAAATCATCCACAACGCTGTTGCCTTTTCTGCCCTGTGATTGTGTTTGCAGGATGAACCAGGCTCGTGTGTACCTGCAGGCCTACAGGGTTGGCTACAAAATCCAGTGTCCTGTGACGAAGAACACATGAGCTGTGCAGGATACAGTAAAAGATGCACAACATCTGCAGCAAAAAGTATGCTGCCACATGGACTGAATTCAGACAATCTCAGAACTGGGAACAACTGTGGAAGCCGCTCAGGGTTTTAGCTTCGCTGTTGAAATAAAAGAGTCGCGTCTGATGGAAATGCTGCTCTTTGCATGTCATTTTGGTTGATTAGGAAACATATCTGTAAATCTACATTTAAATAATAATAATAATAATAATAATAATAATAATAATAATAAACAATCATGACTTTCTTAAAATTTGAAATGGGCTATCAGTTCATCATTTTTAATGATTTGATTTCAAATGGCAGTACATTTGTAAATATTTTCAGTAAATTCCAACTGTCAGTATGCAGGTGGAAATCAATTGTCAGCTTCAAATAGAATCACCCACGCTCACTTACACTTTATATTCAGTCGCAGATTTTAAAATAGACATATAAAGGATTTGCTCTTAGGTGTTAGTGGTTACTTAGCAACTGTGAGAAGGTCTTTTTTTTTTTTTTTCACACACATCAACTCAAAAATTCATTCACAACTCCTGGGCAACTCAAAGAATTTACTCAAGCTTTTGTGTGGTGCCAACCCAAGCCTCCTTATCAGGCTGTGAGGGTCCAATCTCCCCTGAATGCAGCAGGCTCTCCTGTCTCCCACCAAGAAGCTGCCACACAGAGAGTCGCTTGATTGCACAGGATGTGGGGAAAACTGGCACTCAGCTGTTGGGAGGAATTATTGGCAGATGAGACGGCGTCAGCTCTGTATGCATATAGTTTAAAAAAAAAAACACAAAAAAAATCTGGAAAGCACAGCATTGCATCTTTTTTATTATGTGATTTTATATCATGTCGCTGTGTTTGCAGCTTTAGTCCACTGCATTCTCCTCTTAGCAGACATGAAAAAGGTGAAGTGCTGCATCAAGGAGGTAAGAAAAGAAGAAATACTCCACATGGCCAGGTTTTCCCCAAGGTCCAGACACTTTTCTGGCACGGAGCAATGATGGTCACCTTGAGTTGTCATCATTATGGCGGTAGAGCAATCACAGCAGCTAATGTGAAAGGAATGACGACCCCCCCCCGCCCCCATCCTCGTACTCTGACGTCTTCTGGGATTGTCTGTGATTGCAGACAGTTTTCACAGTAAGTCAGAGTGCAGACTGAAAGAATTTGTAACCCCTATTAATTATAGGGGTTACAAAGCACAACAGGGCAAAGCTTGAAAGCTTCAGTGATATAATTGTGTGTCTTCCAATTACCAAAAAACATTCAAATGATACCTACAATATTTGGGGAAATACTCTGCAAACTGTTGACTTGAGACAGTTTGAACTTTTAGCAGCTGTGCAACCCATTTAATCTGCCATGAGACAATGTTTGAAGTGTAAACAGAGATTATCATTGCAACAGTCAAAGTGTTGATAGTGTGAAAGTCTGAGGCTGCTTTAATAATGAACTCGGTCTACTTAATAGGCTATGAAGCGAGAGAGCGATTCAAAGAACACCAACCAGTTCCTCATCTGAACAGATTCCAAAAGAAGAAAAAAACATAAATGAGGGTTTTGGAGTGGCCTACTCAAAGGCCACACTTAACGACATTGAGTTAAATTTAATTCTGGAATGAAGAGTGGCCTACAGTGACTTGAAAGTCTGATTGTAATAAGTTATTGCCTAGTGGCTGTTACCATCAAGGGATTCAAAATCAGCTATTAAGTTTGTAGGAAGCATAGAGTTCATTAGGGCAGCCTTTTTCCCTTAATCAGTAAAATTGTGATTTACAGCCCTGCATAAACTGACTATGAAATCATCTGTGCTTAAAAAAATGCCTCTTTTTGAAAAAGCCCCATTCAAGATTGCCTTCATTGTCACACCTTTGAAACCTATATGTTATTTATTGTCATGTGAAACCCCAGAGTGACTTAAGAGAGTCAGAAATCTTAGGTGCTGAACACTGAGAGTCCATTATGTGGTGTGTATCTCCACTTCCGCTTTATATTAATAGAATAGAAGGGAAAAATGCACATTGTGGGTACTTAAGATGCAGTTTAATAGCATTAAAAGAATACAGGAGTTGCTGCCAGGTCCACTGCAGCCCTGGTCACCGGCCTTTTATTTTTTCAAGGGCCTGAAAAAAAGAATACAGACACATTCAGATGTCTTGCTTTTAAGTACACTGCACATCTGCATAAGCTTCTATAAATAGTGCTGGTTAATAATGAGAAGATGGCAGGAAACTGTAGGTGATAAACAGTACTCAAGGAATATGTTTCTTACTTGTTTTTCATAGAAGAGCAGGAAAGCGTTTCGCTCCCGCCACAAGCAGACCTCTTCTTCTGTTGTCTGGCTGACGTGCGCATCATCGTAAGTCAGCCAAGAGTCGTCTGTAATGTCCATATTCTGCCTCCTGTGAATGCCGTCGCAGATGTAATGGCCTGAAAGAAAAGGGCAAACTTTTCAGCCTTGGGAGAAAAAAAAAAACCCTGCAAATGTGGCAGAAGAACAGAGCCTCAGATCTACACTTACCGCTGTCAGCTTTGGACCCTATGTGGCTGACGACGCTCACCAAAAAATAATAAGTCGCTGTCTACAAAACATCAAAGTGCTTAAATACGCTTCAAGGACATGCGCCGGATCATAATTTCTGCCGCCTGTTCCTTAATGTGCGTCCGCGTTTCGAATTTCCTTACATTTTTTGTGGTTGTGAACTCTTCTCTCACCACAAGTTCTCTCGACAGAGCGACGGGCTTTTTTATCTTCTTCACTGCATTTGACCTGGTGAATTTAAAGCGCTTCAGGTGCAGGATCAGCACGCTGAGAGGAAGAAGAAATAGATTAGAGATGATTAGATCTCAAACTGAAATGGAAAAGAAAAAAAAGGAAGAAAGAAATGCTCCTCCTGGAACAACTGGTTGGCACTGATTACGGCGTGGTTGTGTGTAACCTACTTTGGAAGAGTGAGGAATGAGCTCTGCACTGATGAGTCCTTCACTCCACAATGGCACATGTGTTCTAAATGGCCCTCCTATGGAAGAAAATAGGAATTGACTTAAATCGCTCATAAAATAGCCAACATTTTGACATGCAAAATGCAATATGTGCACGTGCCCTGAGGTACTCCTGTAGACACTGGTTCACTGATCCGCGTGGGACCAGATCCAGGCTGAGGCTGACGAAGTCCTCCACCGTGTGGGACTGATCACCGCATCTGAAACGGACAATGGACTTAAAAAAACAACCGTAGTTATTTTACATCCTCGAGACGTTACAAGTCAGCAGTGCAACTGGAGCGCATGCATCCGTACCCCATGCAGGTTCTGGTGCTCATCATCTGCAGTGCAATGTGCTCAGCGACAGGGCATTTGTAGGTCAAGCCCAAGTCCGACGCTCTCGCGTGCATGTCGTGCGACAGGGACCTCATTATGTCCAGAACACAGATGAGGAACTCGGAGGCGTCCTACTCCGGAAACCCAAAGAAATGGTTCAAACCGTGTCTTCTGAAGCAAAGCTTTAAAAGATTGACACTCTGCCGGCCATTATGGATCAGTGTTACACTAACTTTCTGTCCATCATCATCAAAGCTTGAATTAAACTCGGCGACGGTCTTTTTAAAGAAGGACAGAACCGCTTTTTTCTCCTCTTTTATGTCGGAGAAGCAGGAGACTTCAGTGTCTAGAATTGCTCTGGTGAGAATAGATGTAAAGAGTATTTTTTAAAATTGATTTAAAATAAATACACCATCCCTCACCCCACTGAACAGCTTATTGTCACACTAATTAACAACCAGTTTCAATCCAACTTATACCAGTGTCTAAGTATTCATCCCCCTTGAAATTCTTCATAGTTCTGTTGCATTAAAAAGCAACCTTCAATGAGTTTTAGTGCAAAACATTGAATAATTGTAAAGCAGAAGGGAAATCAAACATGGTTTTTACATTTTTCTCAAATAAAAGTTTTTAAAAAGTATGTCATGCAGTTATATTGAGCACCATGGCTTAGTACTTTGTGGAACAATTTTAGTGTAAATAGAGCTGCAATTATGGGGGAGGTATTTTTCCATCAGCTTGACACATCTCAAGTCTTATATCTTTGTTAACAGAGTAAAGAGGGTGCAAACAATGTATATATTTCCCTCAAATTCCCAATTATGTACTTGTGTTGGCTTAGCACACACACACAAAAAAAACAACATACAATACACTGAACGTGGTATTTGTAATGTGGCAAATTGTCAGAAATTTTAAGGGGTATGAATATTATTGGAAGTGTATAAAACTGCACAGTTCTTGACATTTTAGACATTTGTAATCTGTTGGTGTCTGTGATTTTCTGGACCTGAAGAGCTGGGATTTGGGGTGAGAACTCCACACGGGCAGCTGGTTGTGGAGCTCTTGAACGAAGCATCTCAGGGTGAGAAGGCTTTGTAGGATAGAGTTGATGTAGCAAGTCAGTCCCAGGTTGGGTAACCTTAAAATGCAAATCAAGACATAGAAGCAGAGTAAGGCCACGAATTTCATTTTCAGCATGTAGAATGGTAGTTTTAGAGGAGAGGCTTTTATAAACTTTCATCATATTTTTTGATGCTTGCACTTATGCCTACCCAAGGCAGTCTAAATCCTCATTTGGTCCAGTTTCTCTGATCCCTAAATATAGATTCAGGTTGTTGTAGCTATTGGAGTCAGGGATAAAAATGTTGAACTCAGGTGAGACTTGTGGCTGAATTTCATTAACCTCAGTAACTGAGACATCTGTGACGGATCCAGGGGAAGGCTCAGGACATATGACTTCTACGCTCTCAGTTGAAGAGACTCTCTTTATTGATGGAGAAATACAGTAAAACAGTTAGATGCACTAAAAACCGAACAAACTGTAATGTTTTCTGTGTTAGTCACGCGATCATCAATAAGTGCAATTAACATTTGGCTTTGCTAAGTATATACTCTAATATAAAACAAACGTTCCTCAATAAAACCAGGTGGCACATTCACCTTTGTATCATTCTCAGTTTCTCTTGATACTCTAGAAGGATGTTTCTTTCTCCTAAGCTCTCTATTTGGTACTTCCCTGACTTTGTCTCTTCAAATTAAAAAAAAAAAAAGATATCAAATTAAGCATTAGAATATTAGAATGATATAACATAGACTCAGTGATTCTTGAGAATAGGGACAAAATGGGTTTTCCATCCATCCATCCATTTTCTGAACACCGTTGTCCCTCAGTGGGGTCGGGAG